CAAACTGAGGGTTGCTGGAGTGGTGGGGGGTGGGAGGGATGGGGTGGCTGGGTGATGGACATTGGGGAGGGTATGTACTATGGTGAGCACTGTGAGTTGTGTAAGACTGATGAATCACAGACCTGTACTCGTGAAACAAATAATACATTATATGTTAACAAAAAAATTAAAAAAATTATTTTCTGATTCATGTGTTGCAAGTTCACTGTAGAAAATCCAGAAATTGTAGAAAAGTGTAGGAAAGAAAGAGTATCATCTACATAGTTCAGGGATAACCACTATGACTTTTTTTTTTAATACTCTTAAGGCATTTATTTATTAAAACATTCTCTACCAAGATTTCAGATTAGCTTAAAATTCAAATCAGTCTCCACCTCAGTGTATCACATAAAAACATGTTCTCCAGCAATCAGTGTTATCAGCGTCCACACGATGAGCCCCATGGTCAGCCTCTTTTTTCCCTAGATGACCCAACTAGATGTTAATACTGCTCTGCTACAGGGTAAAAGCTCCTAACTCAAACTCATTGGGAAAGGGGTGAAACTTCTGCAAAGTGCACTTTAAGAAGAGGTACTGTTTTTTTTTATTGTTATGTTAATCACCATATCACCATACATTACATCATTAGTTTTTGATGTAGTGTTCCAAGATTCATTGTTTGTGCATAACACCCAGTGCTCCACTCAGAATGTGCCAGAAGAGGTACTGTTTGCTCCTGAAAAGAAACCAGTGAGTCCTCTAACAATAACAAAAGGGTTATTTTACAGTTAAGCACATGATTTAGAGTGAAGAATTCGGATGTTGCTCTGCTGGTCCAGGCTGTTAATACTCTTCTTGTTCCTCCTGTGGGCCCCCTTCATCAGGTATCACAAAGCCTTCATCTGTGGCATACAGAATGTCCACGATCCTCTGCAATACCGGGTTGTTTTCCCCCTGTTCTCCTGGCAAATCAATTCAATGTTCTTTAGCTTTCCAAAGTAGAAATCTCTATCTTTCTCCAAGTCTTCGACAGTAAGTTTCAGTAGGTTGACCTGTTGCATCAATTCAGCTGCTTCGTCATCCCCGTTGCCCACACCAGGATTCTTTCACACCACACCCGGACCAGCCTTAGGGGTTGCAGTAGTTCTGTGTGTTGCAATGGGCCTCTGTGGAGCTGCGCTGCTAGAGCTGAGAGGTTTCTTCAGTTTGTTCAGAGCTGGAGCAACAAGGGAGGGAGCCACTGCAGTTTCTTGACCTTGTCTGGAAGCTATGGGGTCATAGTCTTTTCCATCATAGTGTGCATCAAAAAACTTCTTGAACCACCGAACAAATTCAAAATTGTCCTGAAACTTTCCTTTTACTAATTTGTCCACAGGAATTATTTTGTCAACACCCATTCTCTTAAAACCTGCTTGTAGTATTTTGAAGTTCTGGATGTATTCATGTTCTAGCTTAGCCTGGAATTTCACTTTCTTCAAGGCAATGGAGCCAGGGAATAGCATGTCCATAAACTGTCAGTAGGCAGCCCCTGAGCACAACTGTTCGATCTTTGTCAGATTCAGCTGCAGAGACTCATTGATCCAGGCCAGCATGTCATGTCGACTTAGGTTATCACTGGTGACTGACGTTGAATATACGTTCACTGCCATCTTCAGATCTCGGCGGGACCGCGTCCATGGCCTGTGCCCAGCTTCGGTTCCGTCTTCGTCTTGTTCAAACCACCCAACCCCACTATGACTGTTTTGAGTGGTTTGCCCTAGAGTCTGATTCCCATAAGCATAAGCACATACAATTTTTGTTTCTCTTCCTATTTCTCGGTCTGTGTGTATATGTGTATGTGTGTGTGTGTGTGTGTGTCTATATACTTTCAAAAATATATTGTAATTACACTCCTTACAGTTTCTGTTTTTATATAATATTACATCATGAGCATTTCATAATTTTTTGTAAACACACCTTTTACCGTATAAAAATATGCCATCTTTATATGCATTAAAATTTAATTTCAGAATGTGAACATTTAACTAGCTTAAAATTTTTGTTTCCAATAACAGATTAATAATTTACTTATTCATAAATGTTTGCATCTATATTTATCTTCCTTGTTATACAGTTCTAGAACACAGAGTATTGGGTAAAAAGGCAGACAGGCTTTTTAAAGAAGGTTAAATTACTACAAATTGTGCATGGGAATGATTATCTAAAGTAAACTCATCAGTATTAAACATTTGTTATTTAAAAATTAGTGCTTCTGCTCTGAGAGGCAAATGATAATATCCTATCACTACTTTAATTTGCATTCCTTTGATTGTTAGTGAGTTTGATTTTTAGTAAGTTTATTAATATAATTAAGAAAACCCAGTTCATTAGCTTACGTTTTAAGAATAAACACAGAGAAGCTACAGAAGCCAATATCCAAAGGATAGTGGTTTCTCCGGGTTTGTATAGAAAGATAAAACTCTGCGGCACCTGGGTGGCTCAGTTGGTTGAGAGTCTGGCTCTTGATTTCGGCTCAGGGTATGAACTCAGGGTCATGGGATTGAGACCCGCGTAAGGCTCTGCGCTAAGTGGGGAGCCTGCTTGAGATTCTCTCTCTCCCTCTGCCTCTGCCTCTTCCCCTGCTTGTGCTTGCTCTCTTTCAATAAGTAAATAAAATCTTAAAAAAAGAAAGATAAAACTCTTAGAATGACAACAGAAAGGGAAAATGGCTCTTCAATCTTACATGTTTTCAGTAATATTCTCATTTTGATATGGGCTATAGGTGCTTTCCCAGATAAAGTTATAAGAAAGGTAGGGGGCTTTGGTCTCTTAATCCATATTTATTCTGATGCTGACTAACAGTAAATATTCAAATGATGATTACTATAGAATTGGAAAATGCTCACATAGTTGGTTTATTGTAACATGGCATTCTTGAACCAAATAGAAATTACCTTGTCTGACTACATCATTACCTGTTTAACGGCCATATGATAGTTCAACAAATAAACAAGTGAACAGTAGGTTGAAAAATGTCCTATAAGTTTGGGCATAAAGAGTATTCTTTCAAATACTTCGAAAAAGTGGGACACCATTTCAATTAGAATATCCGAAGTATGGATCTTTAAATTGAGCACTCAGAATAGCCAGCTATCAGTTTAACCTTTCAATTAACTCATTAGCAATATGTCCAGGCATGGGGCTGGGCCTCATCTAGATTCAGAAGAGTAAGTATCCTCTGGATTAGTAGATGGGCAGGAATGAATAGCCCCTTAGACTTGGTTATGGTTGCTCCCACATTGTTTTACTTAGGAACCAGCTAACATGTATGCAAAATAGAGATGAGAGTTCAAAATACATGTGATTGAATGTGGCTCTGCTGCCCTGAGAATTCTGTCCAGAAACACAAGTATAGTACTTGAGTAGCCTATGTGGAGTAAGAAATCTGCCAAAAGAGCCTAGAATTATGTGCTCACTGACTTTTGTAACATTAGCCTGGGGAAGGTAAGGTAGAATTTATGGTCTGGCCACTATTATATAGGCAATGTCTTGCTCTGCTACAGTTAATTTCTTTCTCATTCTATCTTTTACTTATCATTAGGCCTATAGAAGACCCCAAACCTAACATGTCTGTTGCTTGTGACTTCTATTATTTTACGCATCTTTTATGAGGTTCTTTGTAGAGGTGATCTAGTTCATAGAAAGCCATTTAAAAACGCCAGTCATGAATCATATCCATGAGCTATAAATTTAGTATTGTAAAAGTACATAGGAAACTAGGGCAAAGGAAACTTGATGTTAATATTTCCCTTAAAAATATGTATACACAAACATATATACATGTGTGTATATATATATATGATATATTTGTGTTTATACCTTGGAATATAATATGTATAGTATCAAGAGTTGCTTCTAAATTATCCAGTTCTAGAATTCATGCTAAGTATGCAAAACTATTGCTCTAAGAGCTAACAGATTGATTAATTAATTAATTAATCAATCCTAAAAACATTTGGGTTAATATTTGCTGATAGACCCATTCATTCATTCATTCATTCATCAACACAACAAACATTTACTGTCTCTCTCCTCAAATAATGCATTGTACCATGGTGAATAAGATATTTTCCTTTTCCTAAGAAGCACATAGAAATTTTTGATGAGTTATTTAGAGGTTCCAGATCTTCCCTGCCTAAGGGGTTAAGGGAGCGTTTTCTTTTGGCTGGGGAAATTCTGCATTTAGGAATCAGGAAACATTTGGACAGCTCTATTAAATGATAATTACCTCTTGACAGGTATCCATAAAGTTTAATCAGTATCGCTGCATATGTTTAGAAGAGCTGGAGAAGAGTAACATACTTGGTATGTTATGCATTTGAAAGTGCTAAAATGTTTAGGAGATTAATAAGGAAACATAAAACTGGAGTGACCTTTAATCTTGTAATTGGGAACTGAAATACATATGCACCTAATCAAAGGGCCCTGTGCTGCATATCTAAAAGTTAGGAACATTCCTGATTCACTGGGTCTCCAAAATATAGACTGCATTTTTTTCTTAGACTGTATGTTTTAAAGAGCATTTCTACAAGTTATAAACTGTGCAGGATAAGGTGATAATGTGTAACAGTTAAAAACAAGGCTTTCCAGTTACATAGACTTGAGTTCAAATTCTGAGGCAGTCATTTATTAGTAGTGTGATCTAGCAGTGGATCTAACCTAAACTTGCAATTTCCTTGTTCGTAAAATAAGGAGAATAATAACACCCACCTCACGGGGTTGTTATGAGAATTAAATTAGATAACGTACAGGAAGCCTTAAGGACACTGCCTGGAATTGAGAAAGTGCTTAATTAATAGCAATACTGTTAGAAAAAAATATCATCATGATTTTCTTTTCAGGCCACTTCTCAAAATTTCTGACCAATTTAAGAACACCTCAATATATTTCACTAGCCTGTGCTTCTAAACTAAGGAATTTGGGTTTACTTTGCAGCTTGTCAATGAAGCAACATGATTATGCAGTGTACCAATTAATGCCTAGGACTAGAAACTCATTAATGAGCCAGTTTAAATAGAAATATCCCTTTACTTCAATAAAAATTTAAGATATTAATAAAATGTAGCATAATTTGCATTTGGTAAGTTATTGCTAATTTGAAAGGAAAACATGAGCAGAACCATTTTTCTCCAGTTTGTCTTTAATTATTAGTCAGCATATCGATTGCCAAGCTCTGATTAAGACTGTCTCACCAAATTCCAATACGTATGTGAGGGGACTCCTGCATGAATACTGCACTCTAGAATTATCCCTGTGCATACTCCACATCCCAACCTAGCCCCTTTCATTCCCTCTCCTGTGTGCAGAAGAAGAGCAGTTCTAAGGAGAGAACCTGTTGAAAACAGCCACCCGAAACAGTTATAGTCATCTTTGCTGACAAGTCAAGTACACAGGAAAGAATATATTCAGACAGCAGATACGGAAGACATTGATTCACAGCATGTAGACGTTTCAGTTATTCAGCACCGGAGTCACCTGGCTGTTAAACACGTGCATATTTAGGATGGGATGGAAAGAGAAAAAAGGGAGAAAATAATCCTTTGCAGAGTTCCCAATGTATGTCAGGCACTGTGAAGACACTTTCACATGGTGCCACACTTCATCTTCACAAAGAACCTCAGAATGCATTCTTAGTTCATATTTTTAAGTCAGGAAACCCTGCCCAAAGAACGTAAGTAAAATGCCTACCCCAGGTCATGTGGAGCTGTAATGTGAATGCAGAGCTGACCCCAAAGCCTATCCTTCTTGTACTACACTACACTGAAGTAAGTAATCAGTTCACTTCTCTGAGAAGATTGATCAGTTCTTAATGAGCGTTTATTGAACACCTGGCTGCTGACGCGGGTGGGGCCAGGGCAAGGCACAGTGGTCACTGTGAGATGGAGAGTTTGACTTCATGGAGTTAACAATTCCTCCGATATCTTAAATTTTCTATATCCATTTACAATACTCAGATTTCGCAGGGTATTTAATGGCCTCATTAAAAGGGGGCACCGATATTAAAAAAAACTATAAACCTTTTAGAGTAAACATAAAATCTTTGTGACCTTGGGTTAGGCAAAAATTTCCTAAGTTTAGTACCAATAGCATGATCCATGAAAGAAAAAAAGGTAATAAATTGGACTTTACCAATATATATAAATTTTGCTCTGAGAAAGACACTGCTAAAAGAATGAAAAGACCAGCCACACTCTGGGAGAAACTATCTGCAAACCATACATCTGAGAAATGACTTGTACCAAGAATATCTAAAGAACCCTCAAAATGCAACAACAACCCAATTAAAAAATGAAAAAAAGGTTTGAATGGATGCTGTGCCGAAGAGGATATACAAATGGCAGCTAAGTATATGAAAGAATACTCAATCTCAATAGTCTTGAAGAAAATGAAAATTAAACCCACAATGAGCTATCACTATATGCCTATTAGAATGGCTAAAATAAACACTGAACAAAACAAACAAGCAAACAAAACCGCTGACAATACCAAGTGCAGAGGAGAATATAGACCCACTGGAACTTTCATGCATTGCTGGTGGGGGTGCAAAATGGTACAGCCACTCTGGGAAACAGTTTGGCTGTTTCTTCCAAAGTTAAATATATACTTAGCA